GGGGGGTGGGGGGGGAACGACACAGTCACTTTCTGAAACAGACCTCTTTTTCTAAAACAGCTCTAGAAAGGGTAGGGTGTTAAGCCCCCACCTCTGTGCCTTGCACGCCCCCGGCTGGGACATTTGGAGTGGGGGGACGGGGGACGTACCAGCAGGGCAGTCGGAAATTGACTGTAAGGGGGGGGGGATCACCCTGCTGCTTGGGAGCCCACAGTGCGTTCACAGCAATAACCTGCTCCTGTTGGGGGCACAGCCCTCCCGCCCCGCCCTCGCCAAATGTGAGTGCCCCCCGGCACCGCTCCTGGCCAGCCTCCACTGCTGCAAACAAGGGGGCGGCTGGACCCCAAAGACACTTTTTCTAAGGAGGTGGTGTTATTTATACAGATCTAGATAATAAAAATCAAAATTAAAGTCGGTGTCTCTACAGTGTCCCGAATCCTCCGAGGCTAAATGATGCTGGTGCGCCCACCGGTGTTCCCTCCAAGCTGAGTGGGTGTGAGCTGGCTCACAGTCTTTTAGCCTCCGGCTCACACGTTTTTGTCTTCGCTCAGGAAGGAGGGCTCCAGAGCAGACTCATTGGATGCAGCAGCCAAATCGCTCGCTCGCAACTTTCATGCCAGTCGCTCACAAAGCAGACTTTCTGCTCACAAGACTCAGTAGCTTAGAGGGAGCGTCGGCACCCACCTGCCACCCAAAAACCTTTCTCCGTGGTGATCCTTGACTTCCGTCTCGCCCCCCATTTTGGTTAGAGGGCACACAGTTGAACCAACTCACTTTACGAGCGGGGGGGGGGAGAACTCGTTTTAAATATTTTGCTACCCCGGAGTTCAAGCATGGTAAGTTCTTAGGGCAGCGTATAGAAATGGCAACTTCTTGGTGGGGGAGGAAGATCAGCGTCACCTTCTACTGTCTCAGTACTGCTGGGCCTTTCGACGGAAGGGTTTTCGATCACGCCGAGAGAAGATGCCTCTGCAGCTTCCAGCACTCTGGGGCTTCAGCAAAAGTCCTGGTGGTCTACCTCGTAGGGGTGTTGTTGTTTTTTTAATCCTGCAGGGGTTTTCAAGCAATTTGCACACTGAAAATGATCAAGACCCTATAACTAGTGGGTGTGCGCTTCTGCAGCCACGGTCAGCCACTCCTGGATTCAAAATAATTTATTTTAGAAAAGGGGCATGACAACAGGAGCGGAAAGGCCAACGCCGTCTTCTCCCGGCGTGGTTGGTGCTGGGCTTGGCTTGGGCCGTCAGCTCGCAGGGAGGTCGTCCTCAAGAAGGAACTCTTGGATCTCTTGCTTCATCGCAGCCCTGCTTGGGGGAGGGAAGAGGAAACACGCTGGACTCGGGGGGGGGGGGGAGAGCAGCCCCACAGGAGGAGACCCTGCTGGAACGCCTTCTGCATTGCTGTGACATGGGGGCTCACAGGCTGAGCCTGGAGGATGCCACGCAGTGCCCCCCCCATCCTACTCCAGCAGGCCCAACTTTGGGCCCAGAGCTTCAGCTCGCAAAGTGCTGGAGCAGGGGTCCCTCAACCCCCCCCCCCTTGTCTGCAGGGAGCTGGATTAATTCCCGGAGGAGAGAGGGGACAATAAGGCTGAGCAGCTGAGTGGGCTACACGGGTCCCTGGCTGCCGCGGTAAAGATCTGAGCTGGAGTTCAGCATTGCTACCGGCCCAGTGCCCTGGACCCTTCAGACCCATCTCTCACTGCCCCTGCAAGGGCACCAGCCCTGCAGGCTCCGGAGGGTCAGGCCCTGCCACTCAGGCCAGCCTTGGGGGTGGGGGGTGGAAAGCATCTGAGGTGCCTTCTCTCTAAAGGGCTGGAGGGCACCCTCATCTGCGTCTCTCTGCCCTTGTACCTGCGCTGACGGCGCTCAGCCTCGGAGTGGACATACGGTGGGAGAGGTTCCAGGCAAGTCTGCAGAAGAAAAGAGAGTCCAAGAATGGGCGGCGCTGATTGGCAGAGCCAAGAGATCCCCAGGAGCAAAACTGGGTGTACACACCCCATTTTCTTTCTGGTAAACATGAAGGTGGAGGCAAGGGGCCACCCCCTATCCCCACAGGGCCTCAACTTGGGTACCAAGTTTGGTGTAGTGGTTAAGTGTGCGGACTCTAATCTGGGAGAACCGGGTTTGATTCCCCACTCCTCCATTTGCACCTGGATTTGCAAGCCGTAGCTCTGTTAAGAGCTGTCCTTGAAAAAGAGCCGTTTCTGTCAAGAGCTCTCTCAGCCCCACCTCCCTCCCAGGGTGTCTGTTGTGGGGAGGGGAAGGGAAAGGAGACTGTAAGCCGCTCTGAGACATCTTTGGGTAGTGAAGGGCCATGGGGTATAAATCCAATCTCTTCTTCTTTGAGCCAAACTTCTGCAGCTGCCATCTTGAGCCAAACACCCTCCTTGGCCACAGGCTGGCCGTGCGCTAAGCCCCAACTCCACCCCCTTTGCTTGGTCTTCTCAGCCTCTCTCTTCCCCCCACGCACACAGCGGATGAAATCACAATACTGAGGAAGCCTGGTCTCCCTCTCTGAATCCTCGGGGGAGAGGCAGGACCATGCAGCTTGAGGGCACGGGGCTGTTCCCTGGGCGCCTGGTTCATGAATGCGGCCTCATCCCTCCCCACCCCAGGCGTACCATGTCTTTGACGGTCAGCCGGCAGCTGTAGCACAGCAGCGGGAAAAGCACGGCCTGGGATGGAACGGCCCTGTGGACCAAAGGAGGAGAGGCAGGTTGCTGTCTGTGTCCACCCAGGGCCTCCCCTGTCGCACAAAAGAAGATGCCGTATCAAGCATCCCCCCCCCGCTAAGTTCTTTCCGCAGCTCCTTACCCTGCCGTCGGAGAGCTCCTGCAGCAGCCCGTCTCGTTCGGAGCCCCCCCGCAGCAACCGCTTCCAGCAGACGGTGGTGGTTTCCGGCAGAGCTCTTCAGACAGCAGCGTGGACTGCAAGGAGGAGCCGTCGACTGCAAGGCAGAGGCAGAATGGGCATGTGGGAGGAGGCTGTGTTCTGCCCCCGGGAGCCAAAGGTGGGCCAACAGCCAGCACTGGATTTGCTCCACTTGGTCAGCAGAGTGTTTTGTCTCCACAGCCTGGGGGAATGGCTGTGCCCCCCACAAGCCAATGAGGAAGGACGACATGGATTCCTCTCCCCCATCTTGTGTATCCTTTGTGAGCCATTTCTCGGGAGACGGGTTTGCAGAACCCCGGGGACTGGCCGGTTGCAGCTTGGTAAAGAGAAGTCTCTGTGCTGGCCGTGCCGATTTCAGCTGCCAGGAGCCATTTGCTGGGCAGCGCAGCCCCTCGTTGGGCCGATCTGGGGGAGGGACCGGGTGGTCCTGCCTGGAGTGGGACCAGGAAGGCGCTAGCTGGCAGTGTTCCCTCTAAGCTGAGCTAGTGTGAGCCAGCTCACAGTTTTTTAGCCTCTGGCTCACATATTTTTGTCTCAGCTCAGGAAGGATGGAGCTCCAGAGCAAACTCATTTATGCAGCAGCCAAACTGCTCACTCACAACTTGAATGCCAGGAGCTCTCAAGGTAGAACTTTTGCTCACAAGACTCCGCAGATCAGAGGGAGCATTGCTAGCCGGCCTTCTGGTTCCTCCAGTGCTGATTCCCTGAGGTCTCCTTTGCCGAACGCATTCTGGGTGCCTCCCCTTCTCCACAGCATCAACTGGGCGCCGACAACCTTCCCCCTCTCCCGTGCCACCCCCCGCGTACCAACACTGGTGTCCAGGTGACAGAGGCATAAGAGGCAACGCTCAGGCTCTGCGTCTCCGCCAGCGTCTCGAGGGGTTGTCCCAAGTTTCTCGCCTGTCCTGCAGAGCAGAAAAGAGAGGGTTGGCATGTGGTGCCCTGCAAAGCATGGGTAATTCTGGGCCCCATCCTGAGATACTGGCATGTGCTCCCTTAAAGGGAGCAGCTGCGGCACAGCACCGCTCTTGCATGCAGAATGATGCCCTGGAATCTCCCATTAAAAAGAGAATCTTAAAGTAAGTCTGCCTGAGCTAGATGGACCATCAGGTCAGGACTGCTTGTGCTTTGCATACGTTAATCCTAAAAGCAGCCCTAGATCAGACCGATGGCCCACCAAGCCCAGCACCCCGGTTTCCAACCGTGGTCCATCAAATACCTCAGGGAAGCCCACCAAGAGGGCAGGCTGGCAACTGCCCCCTTGTGTGGGAGGCTAAGAAGAGTTCAGGAGCTAAAAACGTCCCGTTTTTGACAGTCTCTGGACCCAAAAATTGGCAAAGGCAGCTGGAAACCCTGCCAGCGGTGCCTGATAATCACAAGAGCAGGAAAGGGCGCTGGGCGAGACTTCAGTACCCTGTAAAATAAGCTGCCCAAAAGCTAGCCTATGGGGGCACAGTAGGTGGCTCCGGCCAATATTCTCAGTCTGCCAACGCCGGGGATCGGTGCTCACAGCACTGCTTACAAGCTATGCAGGCAGAAATAGCCTGGAGGAAGGAAGGTTAGCATGGGAAGGGCTGTGGCTCAGTGGTAGAGCCTCCGCCTGGCATGCAGAAGGTCCCAGGTTCAATCCTCGGCATCACCAGTTGAAAGGACCAGGTGGTAGGTGATGTGAAAGACCTCCGCCTGAGACCCTGGAGAGTCACTGCCAGTCTGAGTAGACGAGACAGACTTTGATGGACCAGGTCTGATTCCGTAGAAGGCAGCTTTGTGTGTTCATGGTAGGGAATACTGCTTTTTAAAAAAAACTGAATTTACTTATAATTTTTCATAGCAAAATCGATACATTCTTTCGGTCACAATAAATCTTTCCGAGTCTATTCAAGCGTCTTATTTTCTATCCAGTTGTAAACTCTTGACCGTCGTTTTAGGTGTTGTTCTTCATCTTTTCCTAGTAAAACAACATTTAGTCTGTCCATTTCCACTAATTCTAACAACCTTTGAATTATCTCCTCTCTTGAAGGGGTTTTCTCTGTTTTCCAACACTTAGCCAATAAAATCCTAGCTGACATTAAAATATAAGTCACTATATACAGACCATTTTGTTTATAACTATCAGGGTGGTAAGGAATACTGCTGAGCCCCCACCCCCACCACAAGAATGCTCCTCTTCAGTCAAGGGGGGAAACACTCACCGGTAGACAGTGCTGATGGTAGCGGGGAACTCTGACTGCAGCTTGTAGAGGAAGCTTATCAAGGGGTAATGGGGAGGCCGGCCGGGGGCCGGGGGGGGGGGGGAACAAGGCCGCTGTATTTCTGCCGAAGGGGTGGCAGGCCCAGAAGAGCAGCACCTCCCTGTTTCTTCACTTTCAAACTGAGGCAGCTACTGCACGGACCCAGAAATCCCATCACAATAAAACATCCCCAAACATTAAAACGCAAGACCACGATTTATGACTGGTTGGTTAGGCTGCTGGACAGACTTTTCTAAAGCCAGACTCTCAGCATGAAACTGATGCCAAAGCAGAGCCAATGAGACTGCCTAACTAACAAGCAGGGTCAGCAAGAGATAAGCTTTCTCCCTGGCGTTGGCCCAGGCAAGGGCTACTCTACGGGCAGCCGGAACAGGCGGTGAACTTCGATGCAGAGCTGCCCCCCTTACTTTAGTATCCAGTGACGGCGTGAAGACGGCGGGCACCCCGAAGAGGCGGTTGTAGAAGGCGATCTCTTTGGCAGAATACTCCCGCATGGGGCGCAACACGAGCACGTCGCCGTGGCGGCTATCGGAGAAGCCCTGGGAGGGGAGGGAGGAAAGGGGGGGGTGAGGATTGGAGCAGGGGCCAAAGCAGATCCCACGGGCCCTGAAGGGGGTCAAGTGGAGCCCGGGAGGCGGGCTGGCTGGACTGCGACCCAAGAGCAGCCAGAAGGGAAGGCCGGGAAGGGAAAGGTGTGTGTGTGTGGGGGGGGAGTTCTCACTGTGTCTCCTGCGAGGAAGGCCCCCCGGCCCAGGCAGAGGTTGGCCAGCAACTTGACAGCCACGCGGGTACAGCTGTCCCCCATCATCACTTTGGTGTAGCCGTTTGTCCGGGCCACGTGTAGGATCAGGTGGTTCCTGAAAAGGAGGGAGGACTGCTCCTAACTCCTGCAGGGACCAAAGGGGTTGACACTCCCCACACACCCCCGCCACCACAGAGGAAGCACGGCAAAGGATGGCCCCACTGCAGTAGCCACCAACAGCCCACCTCAGAGTGCCCTCAGGGTCACCAGGCCAACGGCAGCTTTGCCCCAATGCCCCTCCCCCCCAGTTTTGGAGGCTCCATCAGTGGCATCAGCACATATGATACTACACCACTAGATCAGTGTAATAAACCCCTATTTTATTCAGTTATAACCCTCATTCTCCCCACTGCGAGCAGCTTACATAATTCTCCTCTCCTTCATTGTATCATGACAATAACCCTGCGAGGTAGGTTAGGCTGACAGGGTGTGATTAGCCCAAGGTCACCCAGCCAGATTCCATGGCATGAGTTGGGATTCAAACCCAGGTCTTCCAGCCAGTTTGGTGTAGTGGTTAAGTGTGCGGGCTCTAATCTGGGAGAACCGGGTTTGATTCCCCACTCCTCCACTTGCACCTTCTGGATGACCTTGGGCAAGTCGTAGTTCTGGCACAGCTGTTCTTGAAAAAGAGCAGTTTCTGTCAGAGCTCTCTCAGCCCCGCCTACCTCGCATGGTGTCTGTTGTGGGGAGGGGCAGGGAAAGGAGTTTGTAAGCCGCTCTGAGACTCCAAGTGAATGGCAGGGTATAAATCCAATCTCTTCTTCTTCTTCATATCTTAGATTGTCATTCTTACCACACTGGTGTTCTCAGGGGTCATTTAGTAGAAAAAGAGGTGCAGGAGCTCATTAGCATAACTTATTTGCATATGCCACACTCCCTAACATCACCGGAAGTGTGTCAGAAGGCAACACCCACCACTCAGGCTCCACTGGACTGTTTTGGATTGCTAGCTATTGGAGGGGGAGGGAACGTGCAGATCTGTACTCACAGAGGAGGGAGAGCTTGTACCTGAATAACACTTGGTCTTAAAGGTGCCACTGGACTGTTTTGGATTGCTAACTAGGGGTGGGGGGAATGCGCAGATCTGCCCTCACAGAGGAAGGAGAGCCTTGTACCTGAAGGCGGACCGGGGGAGGGGGGTGCTCTGCAACTTACCTGGCTGCTTCTTGCTCCTCGTGGCCCAACTGTGGGCTTCTGGGAGCAGGGGGAGGGGCTTGTTGAATGTGCCCGCCCCCTGGGCTCCTTACTGCCGGAGCTTCGCTCCTTTGCGCTCCCACAGCAAATGACCCCTGGTTGTTCTACTCAGTGAGTTAAACAGGTAACAGGAACTCACCAGGATGGACCCAAAGAATGTCTTTGCTCTGCCCCTCTTTGGACCGCATGTCTGTGAGGAACCCCTCTGCCAGCACTCAAGGGGAAGGTTCTCTCTTGCCAGCCCAAAAACTCACCGGAGTGTCTGCAGGAGTTCCTCCTTGGCAGTCAGCGTCTTCACTGCTCTAAAGAGGTGGGTCAGTTCTGCCGTGTGTGAGACGGACAGAGGCCCGGGGACCTCCACTGCCTCCTTCCCTGGAGGGCATCGTACGCTAAGCTCAGACAGCTGGCCTGGCAGAGAGTCCCCAGTCCTTTCACTCTGCTGCTGCTGCTGCCGCCGTATGAAACCATCCACAGCCTCCTTGTAACTCTGGCTGTCATCTGTGGCATTGTGGGAAATGGAGCGCAAGATGGAGCCAGGAAGGTCAAACACCTACGAGATGACACGAGAGGCCCCAGTCATCCACCAGAGGAGCACCAGTAGCCTCTGAAGTGGAGCGGGTAGGAGTGCTCGTGGATGTAAGAGGATGCTCCCTGATCCACTTTACAGGTGACTCTGCTTTTTATATGGGAAGGCTGAGGAATCTGGGGGCTCATTAGGTTAGGGGGCAAAAACAGAACAAAGGAGGGAAACGTAGGACAGAAGATTCTGAGATTACTTATAGATCGGAGAAAGCTTTTCTCCCTCTGCCGAAGTAACAGAAATGGGGCATAACCAAAGGAGGTTGATGGCCTGCAGATTCAGAATGGGCAAAAGAAACATATTTTCATTTGGCACAATGTCATTTATGAAATCTGTCTCCACAAGACTATGGCCACTAGGCCAGTCTTTAAAGGGGGGGTTAAACCAATTCATAAAAGACAAGTATCTTAACAGCTATTAAAGGAACTTCCAAGTGCAGGCATCGTTTATCTCTGAACACCAGTAATGGAGTGGGCAACAGGTCTTTGGCCTCAATGTCCTTCCTGTGACCTTTCCAGGGGTATCTGGTTGCCCAACGTGAGAAAAAAGATGGGGCAAATCAGATTTCAGCCTGGGCCCACAAGGGGGGGGGGAGGAGGAGGGGGAGATTGGATTTATACCCCGCCCTTCACTTGGAGTCTCAGAGCGGCTTACAAACTCCTTTCCCTTCCCCTCCCCACAAAAAGACACTCTGTGAGGTAGGTGGGGCTGAGAGAGCTCTTCCCAGAACTGTCCTTGAGGGACCAGCTCTGACAGAACTGTGGCTTGCCCAAGGTCATCCAGCAGCTGCAAGTGGAGGAGTGGGCGAATCAAACCCGGTTCTCCCAGATTAGAGTCTGCGCACTTAGCCACTGCACCAAACTGGCTCTTAAGAGAACGGTCGTTTTATATCTCATGGCTTCTTGAGATCTTGGTGTCCAGAATGCTGGCTTGCTTTACTGCCATATTTCAGAAGATACCCTTTCTTGGCCTGGGTTCAGTGCCAGAGTTCTAGTGTGACACCATTGTGCAAATGAATCAATAAGGTTGTTCAATTACTGACAAGCTAAACCAAGCTGGGTTGAGGCTGCAAGACTCCAGTATGCTGAAATGGAGAAGCTCCAGCAGAAAGGAGAGGGGGGCTGAAATCAACAGTCCTGCTTCTACGCGGGTGTCTTCCTTACCTCCTCCAAGTGCACCAGATGAAAAGGAAACCCTGTGGCTCTCAGGATCATCTCCACCTGACTGTGGACCTCTCGTCTCTTCCCCAGGTCCTGTCCACACACAGCTCCTTCTACACAGCAAGAAAAATGTGCCAGGAAGATTCGAATGCAACCAGAGGACATCTCGCCTAGCCCCAAGGCAGTCACAATCCTGGAATTAAATTCTAGCAGCAAATTTGGGAATGGTGCAAAATGTGTGTGCGTATATATACACGTATGCACACACGTGGATGTATGTTTTAAGCCAGACCTTTCTAGTCCAAACAAACTGCCCCAGCACTACTAGCCTTCAGTCTCCCAAGCACAAAAGAGAAGACACAGAACAGGGGTTACCATCAACAAAGACGATGCCTGGCTTGAAGCGGAGTTTCTTGGCTGCATCCCGACTCAGGCCCTGAGAAGCAAGAGGCAAGGTTGGTTCAATAAACATGAAAGACGCAGTCGCTGGGCATCTAACAATATAAGCTGTGCAATGCAAGCTTTAAACATTTACTTCTTCGGAAGCAGGTCATCTGGTCCCCAGAAGCGATTCATTGGGATCATAGCACCTAATGGGTCCATCTATTCATTTGGAAACCCTAAGGCCCCTGCTGTGATTTTCTGAACCTCAACACTGTACGTTTTACACACTCACACAAACGCCCTTTTAAACACAGGCAGGACATGCAGACCTAGCCTGTCTCCTCCCCACCCATCACAACTAGAGCAAGGTTTTTATCCCCTTTGTGTTAATTTGTTAATTTATTTCTACTAAACCCCTGCTTCTCAAAAAATTTCAACTTGGGCCCCTTCCTAAACACACTCTACCTCCCACCTCTTCTACAGATCGGGACAGTAGTCCAGTCTTGGATTTTAAAAAACCCCTACAACTAAGCGTTTCAGAATTCTGCCTAAAAACGAACCCGTTAGGGAGGAAAGCAAATAGGAATGAGCTGCTGTGGCTAGAAGTACCTCTCCCCCTTTCATGGCAGTTGGTTACCCCCCTCCTCCCATTTTGAGAATCACTATGCTAAATCAAAGCCTCTGACCGGCTCTTTCAACTGACCAACTGCAGATCCTGCTAGGCACCACAGGGCCCAGGCAGATACCTCTTGGACTTGTCGCACCATTGCACTGGAGGCGGGTCCACCCGAAAACGCAAGGAGAACCTGCAGCAAAGAAGGAATGCACCAAAAGGTTACTATGAACTGTCCTGGTCGCTTCTAGTCATCTTTCCCACTGGCAAAAAATAATCAGACTGGACCTTCTCTCCAGGAAAAATGCAGCGATTCTTTCCAAGCGTGGCACGGAACTTGTGGACAAAGTAATCCTTGAAACAGGCCCTGCAAACAAAATGTGCTCCTGTAAAAAATTACAGTCAGGAACTCCCTGAAAGCAAAGTGCTACAGCAACCTGCATTGCATGGAATCCTGTGATCTGAGCTGAAGTGAGAATAAATTTAGAAAACAGGTTTCTCAGCAGAGGCTAAAGCCATTTACAAATCGGGGGTGGGGGGAGCATGCAGAACTTTTATTGACAGGTGTGGGTAGTTATGAGTTTAGGCAGCCCCTGCCCCTCACTTGCAATGGCTTTTTCTGACAGTCAGCAAAATAACTGTTTCACATGACCCATCCAGCCCTAAAGATAACATCCCAATTTCTCACTCAAGCCCCTTAGAGAAACAGCACATGGCAAACAGGGATTCTGGCTAACATTAAGGAGGGGGCTGATGGCCACCAGGGACAAGGTTTTCATGAAGCTCTGTGTATCATATGTGTCATTTACAGCATAGCAGCCGGCTCTCAGCTTAAGGCTCCTGTCATGACCCCAATTGGTTGCCACCTTCGTCTGCCACCACTCTGGACTTAGGGCTCCTTGGGAAGGCCCAGAGTACCCTCCTAAGCCCAACCAAAATGCCCCTTTTAAGCCGAGAAATATAGGCGTGATGACCAGGCAGAGAACATTAAACAAATGGTTTATTAATACAGTAATGGGGCAAGGAAAACAAGACAAGGTGCTTAAAATACGTAACAATGTCTAAAGGTAAAATAAAACAAATCTAACGTGGCTACCTATTTCTCTTACTTGTTACTATTCAAAGCCCACAGCCTTTTATACCAGGCCTGTGCCTGTACTCACTCTGTCCCAAATTAGGGATCTTCGTCTCAGCTTAACTCTGAGGGGAAAGAATGCAGTCCCCTCAGTTTAGCTCTGTGAGAGAAAAGAACGTTCCACTCCCCACAAGGTATAAATCACAATCTCCTCATACAATCCCTGGACACCGATTGGTTACAACTGTCACTAAGCATTGTGGGGGATTGTAGGCTGTGTCTGCTTTCCACTGCCACACAGGTCTCTCTTGGGCCTAGGCCTCATTAGGCCTTGTCTCCCAGTCCTACACAGGTCATGACAGCTCCTATGCCCAGTTCCTACTGCACCTGCCACCCCTCGTTCTTACTTGCAAAAAGCATCTCCAACACGGATGATCAACACCGGAGGCCCCTCTTTGCACTTCATGCACTTCAGGGGACGGCTGTGGAAAGTGGAAGGATCAGATCACAAGAAAGTGTCTTAATAAAGGGAACGAGACTGTAGGCTAAATTTCTGTGTATAGCATACAATATAGTTACTGAATGTATTACCGTGCTCCTACTGCCCTGTTTTCTATGCAGACAATTCCACTTTTTTGGTTTTGTTAACATTTCAAGTCTGATATTTATACTTTGTTTCAGATTTCTGAAATCCTGGCCCCATCGCTTCACTCAACAGATGTCACATTCTATGAACTGTACTGACTGACACTGCACCACCTGCCTCGAGTATCTCAATGAGAAAGATTCAGGTGAGTCACCTTGTTGGTGTGAAGCGGCAGAACAAAGTGGCTCCTTTAAGACTAATATTGTATTTTAATTTATAAGCTTTCGTGTGCATGCACAATAGACAAACCAGATTTTCTTCGACATAAACTTTTGTGTGTGCACAAAAACTTATGAGTTGACTAGTCGTTGGTCCTTCAATAAAGGGAACGAGACTGTAGGCTAAATTTCTGTGTATAGCATACAATATAGTTACCGAATGTATTACCGTGCTCCTACTGCCCTGTTTTCTATGCAGACAATTCCACTTTTTTGGTTTTGTTAACATTTCAAGTCTGATATTTATACTTTGTTTCAGATTCCTGAAATCCTGGCCCCATCGCTTCACTCATCAGATGTCACATTCTATCACTGTACTGACTGACACTGCACCATCTGCCTCGAGTATCTCAATGAGAAAAATTCAGGTGGGTCACCCTGTTGGTGTGAAGCAGCAGAACGAAGGGGCTCCTTTAAGACTAACGAATATTGTATTTTAATGTATAAGCTTTCGTGTGCATGCACAATAGACCAACCAGATTTTATTCGACATAAAGTTTTGTGTGTGCACGAAAACTTATGAGTTGAATAGTCGTTGGTCCTTAAAGGGGGGGGACTATGAGAAAGGGGGCTATAAATAACGTAAATAAATCAGACGCTTTTGCAGGAGGGATGGGGGCCCCAGGGGTAGAGATGTAAAATTTCCGGAAATTTTTAAGCTCGGAAAAAAACCTGTTTCCCCCCCAGTTTTTTTCAGAAAAAACGGAAATTTTCGGAAAAATTGAAAAAAATGCTACATTAGCATTTCTTTTGTCTTTTCTAGATTGAAAGTCATTCTGTTACTTTAGGAACATAAAATATGACTATGGACATTTTACTTGGCATTAAATTATCACAACTAGCATTTTAAAAATATAGTGTATCCAAACAATTATTACAAACAGAATACCCACCCACATGCAAAAACAAAACTGAAACTTTTTTAT